CCCCCCCCCCCCCCCACTGGTTGATTTCAAAAGTCTTACAATTTGTTCCAGGGATCGTTGGATTCTCTCTCTCTCTCTTTGACCCAGGCGACTCAAGGGACAGGTTTCCAATCCAGTTTGACAACGTACTTCATCTCCTGAAGAGATTTAGGCTGTCTTGAGGGTTTAAAGTAAAGGAGGGGGAAACCTGCCATAAAATTGATTTAGACGCTGTTAGGAGCGAAGCAGCAAAGCAGCTTGCCTTGAAAATCCAGCCTCCCAAGCTCTCCTCAATGCCAATCTTTATTTATCTATTCTTTCTTTCTGTTTTTTTATGACGGTGTTTCCTTGGGTCCTTTTGAAATGAAATTTTTAAATGCGCTCGTCTCCTTTCTGCTGACCGAACTGCGTGTATTGCGTTAGAAGTAATAAAGTCACCTCCTCTTCGGTAATTCTTTCTGCTCTTTAATTTATAAAGCTTGCAGTGAGGAGTCCTGGAGCTTCGTTTCTTCGTTTCTGTCTCCAAAGAAGGAAGGGTTGAAATGCAGTCCTTGAGTTACAGATAAACGTACAGTATCTTGATATGCTCTGCTCTAAAATCCCACCGATTTATTTTATATTATGCCAAGGGCTATGCAACAGTTTGAGATCTCAGTGGGAGGGTGTGAGGAGTGGGGAAGGTGGATATTCTTCTGACCGAGGCTTCCGAAGAGCATGAAGCAAACTCCCGGTCCCAACAAAAAACCGTTTTATTAATTGACTGTGAATTCTGCTCCTTCACATCCAGCAAAGTCTTTCCAGGGAGGATTTACAATAGCAATAGCAGTTAGACTTATATACCGCTTCATAGGGCTTTCAGCTCTCTCTAAGCGGTTTACAGAGTCAGCATATTGCCCTCAACAGCAATCCGGATCCTCATTTCACCCACCTCGGAAGGGTGGAAGGCTGAGTCAACCCTGAGCCGGTGAGATTTGAACAGCCGAACTGCAGAATTGCAGTCAGCTGAAGTAGCCTGCAGTGCTGCATTTAACCACTGCGCCACCTCGGCTCTACAGTCACAGACCTTCTCTGGCTTGGAGAGCGGCCAGGCCGATCTCTGCAAAACGTGGCAGGGAGTCTCGGAGAGTCACGAACCAATGAAGCAAACTAATTGTGGGCGTGGCCTAGTTGGCCTTCTGTACCCCCCGGGGGGGGGGGCATTTTTCACCCTTCCAGAGTAGAGGTGGGTTTCTACCGGTTCGGACCGGTTCGGCTGAGTAGGTAGTAACTCGGCTGCCCACGCATCCGAACCAGTTCTACGGCACCACCATCTTGTTTTTTACCTACTGCGCATGCGTGCCTGAAGCACATCCTTGAGCAAACCGGGAGTAAAAGAATCCAGAACCCACCCCTGCTCCAGAGTCTTTCCATGAGTCTCCGGGAGGGCGAAAACTGCTTCCCCCGAGCTCCGGAAGCCCCCCCAGAAACCAGAAACAGGCCCGTTTTTGGATTTCTGCAACCTTCGGTAGGCCTGTTTTTTGCTCTCGCTGAGCCTCCACGCGCTCCCTGCACTTAGCTGGCATGATGAACATGCCGCGTAGAGACTCCTGGAAGGGGAGGGGCAGGGTGGGAGGGGAGGGGCAGGGTGGGAGGGGAGGGGCAGGGTAGGAAGGGCGTGGCCAGCCAGGGGTGGCATTTGGGGGTTCACCGAACTGGGCAGAATCCTAGCTAGAGAATCGCGCGAACCCGCGCGAACCCCCAGCAGCCCTCTTGTCTCTTGTTTAGCAACGGGAATTTTGGGCTCAGAAGTTGCGGTCACAAGTCAAGGGCTACCTATTAATCTTTAAAAGCCTGTCCCCCCCCCCCAGTCTCCCAACATGATGTCCTGAGGGTGTTACTTGTTCCAAAAAATGTTTGATTTGGTGGATTTTCTTCAAGCGTTTGCTTTCTTAGAATCCCGCAAAATGGCTCGTTGCCTTTTTAAGCCTCCTTCTCCGCAGCTTAGCTTTGTCTTGTTGCTCGGTCGATAGACATCTCTGGGTTTATATCCTAAGAAACCCTGCAGCCTGCAGATAATAGATATATAAATATGATACTTGGGCTCCCTTTGGAAAGAGCCTTTCGAAACATGAAATTAATTGAATTCATTAGCCTAATTTCTAATTTTTAAAGGCTCGTTTTTAATTAAGGAATTAAGTTCCCGATAGGCACAGGAATTGCGTTCCTGATGTACACTGTATTGCCAAAAGTATTCGCTCACCCATCCAAATAATCAGAATCAGGTGTTCCAATCACTTCCATGGCCACAGGGGTATAAAATCAGGCGTGACCCGACAAAAGGGCGAATGACAAAACCATGCCCGACTAAACCGTGTCGCGGACGTCATCAACGCGGCGACAACAGCCAGCGCGGAGAAAGAAGGGCGCTTTAAATAGCGCGTCGAAGAAAGCAAATTTAATTTAAGGTAAGGGTTAGGTTTAGGATTAGGATTAGGATTAGCTTTAGGGCTAGGTTTAGGGTTAGGTTAAGGGTTAGGGTTAGGGTTAGGTTAAGGGTTAGGGCTAGGTTTAGGGTTAGGGTTAGGTTAAGGGTTAGGG